AAATAACAGAAACTGCTGAGTGTTCCTGTGACCGAGTCAAGTGGAGGAAAACAGTGCTTTTGGTATCAATAATGTCGCAGAGTTACTTCTATAGTTTTCAGTTGAATAATCTCAGATTTCTGATTCTTTTTACAACCTTGCTGCATGCTTACATGTACAGTTGAGAACCAGAAACATGCCTAAAAGGGTTGTGGACCATGCTAGAAGGTAAAACTATGTGGCTACTACAACAAATTTTAGTGAAGCTCTCAGAAATTAATCATTCAAAATGGCCACCACAGATAATGGACATCAGCCAGCACAAAAAATCTCCAAATATCACGATACTGAACAGAACGTCATTTACAAGTTTTAACCAAAACAACCATAACGCTGTTATTCCACATCCCATGATGATCTTAAATAGAAACTTGACATGAAAGGCAGCAGACAATGTGCATTCTGTCAAAGAATGCTGAGCCTTTCGTTTTAATTTATTCGTTTTGCTGTATCACTTCTTGATCATATTGTTTTTATAATTTGAGACAGCTCATCCAATGTCTTAAAATAATTTGTAAACAGAATCACGCAGTTGATTGTGATACTTTAAACTTGTAAACCTGTCAACAAGTGAGTAATCCTGGAATCAAAAAGATGTCCCTAAGACATGAAAAACTTTCCAAATTTCAAATATTTGGAAAATAATAATTATAATGCAATTAAATTCATTTCAGTTTATTAATATAGTACCAAGTCACAACAGAAGTCATCTCAGGGAACAGAACAGAAACATTTATATAAATTAAAAGTAAGTTAATAACATTATTTATCTGAGGAGCAGACTGCTTTGGGTTTAACGTCATCACATATACTCTCATCTTGAGCAAGCATGAAGGCGACAGTGGAAAGGAAAAACTCCCGCATGAGGAAGAAACCTTTAGCAGAACCAGGCTCAGGACAAGCGTCCATCTGCTTCGACTGGCTGGGTTTAAGAGGAACAGGAAGAGGAACAGATACACAATGGCAGGTTGAGAATCACATGTTAACATAGAAATAATATCAAATGAAAACTATTGAATTGTAACAATTTAGTTTAAGAAATGTGGACAATTTTTCCTCCAGTAGTCTAAGCCTATATGGCAACATAACAAGCCAACTCTAATTAAAGGATTTATCAAAAAGGAACGTTTTAAGTCTTAAAACTGGACAATGTGTCAGCCTTATGGATAGAAATTGGAAAATCTTTGGGTTTAATTTTTCTTTTTTTCTTTTACAATTTATTCAAATACACCTCAAAAGTCAAAATAGCATGTGTGCCTCTTCAAGAAAACTTTGCCACTACAGCTTCCTTACTGCAGTTATCTGTTCTTTTAGTCCATCACTATCATTGTAATCACAGTTCCACTCATCGCCCTCAGTCTTATCGTTGCCTTGATGTGCAGCAAAATGCCCGTAATCAATTTGACTGATAAGTGATGGGACTTTTCTTGGTATCCTGCAGTGAGACAGAGGCTCAGTTTGTGTTAAATGGGTTACGGGGGTAAATCTTCAGGTCTCCAGAGGTTGCACATTTTCCCTCCCTGCCTTTCTTCCTGTCAACATCTAACAAGCTCACCAAAGCTGAGCTGAAAAGTAGCCACCTCCGCTGTTCTCTTCACTGCCTCGCTTTCCTTCACTCACTGCCACGCTCTATTCTCTACTGTTTGTCTCCCCTTTGGTCTGCACATTTCTTTCTTGTCCTTCCATTTCCCACGCTTCTCCTTTTTCCTCTCATGTTCTGATGTGCACTCATGCATGCACGTGCCCTAAACACAGGCAGTGTATTTAAATCAACGCTGCATTTGTTCAAAAACGAAACAATTTCTCTTCCTAACTTTAGTGTGTAACAAGCTTACACTTGCTCCTATAGCCTATGGGCAAGTTTAACTAGCAATGCTTCGCTGCATTTCTTCATCATGACTCATTGACGTTGATGTGAAACTTTGTGACGTATGACACAGCCACACTTGATTCACAGCAACAGCGAAGCATGGCCTAATTCAAATTAGAAAAGTGACTTATTTTTGGAATAAAGCAAAATGCCTTCTCAGCTACCTGCTCCCTTTAATGCATGTTTAGTTGGATGCAAGTGATTAATGTGTTGAGTATTCTTCTTGCTTATTAGTCTCTGAAAAGATGGGCACAAAGTGTACACCATATACATCACATACATCATTTATGTTCTAAAATATGGCAAATGATTGAGCAGTGTTAAAATGCAAAATATACAAACTGCCAATCAAGTTTCTGAACTTCAACGATCATAAACACTTGTATAAAACTTTCCAATTTTAGTGAAATTAAAACTAGAACAAGAAGTTCACCGCTTTTAAACAGGAAGTGACTGATCTCACATTTCAACTCCCATTCAGCAGGTGCATCACAGTCTGTGAACATGTCACAGGCAGTTCAGCAGCAATGGTCACCATCAACTTTCTCAAAAACATTGACAAGAAAAAAATTCCACAGGACACTTTAAAATAATATTTAACCCCTGACTTGCATATAAAGTTGCTTGTACTTGTAAAACTGTAATAATACACTAAATTATTGTGGATTTGTTGACTGTGGATGTTATGGTCGGAGAGGTGGACGAAGGAGAAAATGTGATCAAACTGGATTTGATGTTGTTTAACTCAAATTAATGAATCGACATGAAAACGTGACTCATACCTGCATATATTGACCTACAAATGGAAAATATTGCAATGCCAAACAAAGCTTTAAGATTCAAAATCACCTTTGTTTTAACAGGTAAGTCAGTCGAGAACAACTTCTCATTTACAATGGTGACCTGGTTAAGAGGTGGCAACCCAAGTGGACAGAAAACAGCAACAATAAAAGCAGAAGACAAGGCAGAAATGGCAAAAATTAACATAATTAAACATACTATACACATTTTATTAACGCACTGTGAACAGTGACAGGCATAGTTAAACTAAAAGCACTTGCAGTGATCTTGTACTAGTGAATATAATGAACTTTTAAAAGAGGAGAGGATAATAAATGAGTCGAGATTTAAGGTCCCTTGCACATGGTTCCAGTCATCTGCAACAGAGAACTGGAAGGAGGAACAACCAAAGGAAGTACGTGCTTTTGTTGTGAGGAGATTGATGATTGATTCGTTCAACTTTTCCTTAACCAAGGGTTGCCACAGCAGGTCATCCTCATCCATTTCACTCTGTCCTTTGCATCCCCTGTTCTCACTCCAACTACCTTCATGTCCTCTCTAACTGCATCCATATACTGCATCTTATTTTTGGCCTTCCTCTGTCTTTTTCCTGGCAGCTGCATTTCTAACATCATTCGACCAATATACCCACTGTCCCTCCTCTGGACATGTCCAAACCATCTCAGTCTGGCCTCTCTAACTTTATCTCTCAGTTGTTCAACTTGTGCTGTACCTCTGATGACCTCACTCCTAGTCTTATCCATCCTTGTCACTCCTAAGGAGAAACTCATCGTCATTTCTGCCACTGTCTCCAAGGCATACAAAATAGGTGGTCTTACCAATGTTTTGTAAAATTTTCCTTTGACCTTTGCTGCCATTCTGTTGTCGCAAATCGCTCCTGAATTTTTTTTTTTCCCTTCACTCCATCCTGCCTGGACTCTCTTTTTCACCTCTTTACCACGTTCCCCATTAGAAGTTTGGGTACTGTAGCATTATTGGACTTTAGATGCACTATATCCCATATAAACAACTCGCTTCCTTTAGCCATATTGGAATTTCATGAGTTTTGATATATAAGAGATGAAAATGAATATCATAAGTATATTCTTCATTCCAGAAAACATATGTTTAGACAATAACAGCAGGTAAAAGTGTCTCTTAGAAACTAAACTGTGCATTTTGTTATATTTAGGATGCCATTTTGATTTATCAAGATGGACACATTACCAAGATTAATTTATTTTACACCTTGATATCCCTTGTATCCAAAAACATTGGTTTATACACCAAGTAGAAGTGTTTATGGAGTCTAGAAAGCTCATTCAAGTGTATGCTTGATCTACGATCATCCATTTTTTTAAATGATTTTGAAATGGTGCTATGGAATGGAGTTGATGGATCAGAAAATTTGAACTCCGAAATTTATGATTTATATGACCCCTAAGCAAGTCAAAACTATAATTGCTTTTAGCAAGAAATTTTCATTTTGGACAATTTATGGTATAAGGTACCAGACTGTCAAGCCAGTTACTGAGATATAGCTTTCGACAAAATCAATCTCAGTACCGTTCAAGGAAAACATTTTAAAGGGGCACTCGACTTGCGGTAGATTTCTGTTAAAATACATACATTTAGTTTAGTCTGTGTTCAAAAGTAGATGCAGACTAGTGAATGTCAGATGAATCGAAGAAAAGCTAGCTTACAATGAAGACAGAGCAGTAGTCAAGGAAGGATTGGATGTATAGATGATGGTATCATCAGCATATATATGCACATGAGAATCACATACTGCCAGGGGAACGTTATTGTTATAAATATTGAAAAGAGTAGGTTCCAGAATGCTTCCTTGTGGGACACCATTAGATAGGGACAGGAGATCAGACAGAAGGTTCTCCATCCTCGTTGACTTTAGATGATCAGAACAATAACTATTAAAGCTATTAAACTAAGTTCAATAGCTTTCAGAGGTCCTATGTGCCTTCCCCTGTCTAGTAATAATTTATGGTTCACAGAGTCCTTTGATAAATCCACAAATGCAGCTACATGGTATTGTTGTCAACAGCACATATGTCCAACATCTGTTCTGGTTTTAAAGCATCTCAAAATCAGTGACTATGGAAAGTTTGGGGTTTTATTTAGAAAGGAGTGTAAAACTCACCTCCAGTTGTTTTTTTGTGTGCAGTATATTGATTTTGGCTTATGCACATATACAAACAAAGCAGCTATTAATCTAACCTATTTACGTTTAAAAAAAAAAAAAGAATGACTGTACAAACTAAAAAAAAACATATTCCAAATAAATCCTTCTTACCTCTGTGAGGTGTGGGTTGGGATTGAAGCCACACTGGTTGCACACCATAGAGCGGCACTGGGTGCAGATGTTGCTTGTCATCCCTGTGCCCATCAGGTCAGTGGTTTTGCAGACAGGACACAATTTGCTGCTGGGCATCGGGGCAATTTGAGGCACAGAGTAAGGAGAAGTGGGGACGCTTCCTCGGTCTGGGGACACAGAAGGAGACCTTCCAGTCCTGCTGCCACCCAAGTCCACCTGCAAATTCTTCCTGGAAACATGACCCTGGCCCTGCTCTCCTTGAGGTGCAGCCTGCTTAGGGGTGTCATGAGAGGCCAACCTGTCCCCCGTCCCATGACTGCTCTGGACTCCAGCTTTTGGTCCAGGGTCTGATGGAGGGGGTCTGGAAAACACAGGGAAAAGAGAATAAGTTGGAAAATAGGCCTAGAATGTACCTCAAGAGTCCTGTTAAAATCAATAAGACTTTAAAATTTTCTCAACGTTACAAAACTAAGAAAACAATAACTACTTTTGGTTTTAGGTTTTAATGTTTAAACTTTTGGTACCACTTTACAATAAGGCTCCCCTTATAGATGGTTAATAAATAGTTTATGATATGTTATTAATTATTTTATAAACACTTTATAAATCATTAATAACTGCTTATTATGCATTAATTAAGGGTGACAGAGAGACAAAACTGACCAGTTTCTTGCCAAATAGTGAGCCAAATCTGTTCACCTATATATTTCACCTAGAGCTGTTATATTAAACATTTCAGACTAAGTTACTACCTTGTAAGAACAATATGCATTTGTAAGCCTATTTGTTTAGCATATAATATTGTACTTTATCACTGCATTATAAGTATCCACAACTAATATTATATTCTAATAAAAAATAGGTTTACAAATGCTTATTGTGCCTACAAGGTAATAACAGTCTGAAATGTTTAATATAACAGCTCTAAATGAAATCTATTGGTGGCAGATTTGGCTCACTGTTTTGCAAGAAAATGGTCAGTTTTGTCTCTTTCTCGTCCTTAATTAATGCATAATAAGCAGTTATTAGTGATCTATAAAGCATTTATAGAGGAATTAATAATGAATCTATAGATTATTTAATAGCTATATGGGGAGCCTTATTATAAAGTGGTACCAAACCTTCTGTATATATTTTCATCATTATGTTATTTTTGTGTTTAACAAATATTACCTGTAAATTCAGTAAAATCTGTCTTATTCTCATTCAAGGACACATTTACATTCACACAAAATTAGAAAATCACCATGGTCCATAGCTGTAAAAAAAAAAAAAAAAAAAAAAAAAAAAACATGCTATCATACTCCACTCTTTTAAAGTTGGACGGGAACTCATCGATCAGACTATTTAATTAGTAACTCGTCACACTCAAGGGTAAAATTCACAAGCATTTTTTATTTTGACTGAAACTGATTAGCCCTTGCAAGTCTTGGAGAGTAGCTTTAATTAATTTATTAATCTAGCTTTTGTCAACCTGCTGTACTGCTTGCTGTACATCATAACCAAGAAGACGTCATGTAAGGTTGACCGAGTTACAAATTAAGGGGGCTGATAAGAGAAAACAGGAATATTGGTGACTAATTATGATTATGAGTTAGATGGAATTTGTAATTGTGTGGAACGATGCATATCAGCAAATGAAAAAGTAGGGACTAAAGTCATGTGACATTTTTTTAAACATCCAATTAATATCTTATTTGTTAAAGACAGTTCTGAATGAGCTCATTTAGGAAAAACTTAGTTTATTTTTGTCCAGATTATCAAGCTAAGAGCCAAAACCAAAGTGAACTGCTGTTGTCATAAATAAATCCAATTTCAAAAATGTCATTATGGTTCATATGAATGCTATAAGTCTTTCCTGCTCCATCAGGTTCAAAGTGCATGATCATTCTGACAGAAAAAAATATATTCTTACAGAAAACAGGTAGCTTCTGCTGCTATTTGTGCCTTTAAATAGTGTTTAATGTAAATAATCATGTAAATCATGTAATGCAAAATTACTGGCAATGTAATGGTTTATAAAATACTGTAACCATGAAACACGGTAAATGTTTTGAGGTTCTAATTGTTTTATAATAGCAACAATCCACTTTGGTCTTGGTAACACTAAGGTTACTCATAAGTCATAATAAAACTCTATTTTTCCAAAAGGATCTCTTTATAAAAACTTTCTAAAATGGATAAGACTGTAACTGTTCATAATCTATCCATAAAACCCAACTCTCTGTGGAAAATGGAGTTTGTGGAAAAAGCTGGCCTATAATTTTAAAAACTGTACTATAATACAACAAATGTACCTAATAGTCTTGCTCTAATCTAATGTTCTATTGTTCTTGAGAGATTTCATGGGTGGATGGACGGATGGACGGACGGACGGACGGACGGACGGACGGACGGATGGACGGACGGATGGATGGATGGATGGATGGACGGACGGATGGATGGATGGATGGATGGATGGATGGATGGATGGATGGATGGA